GGTCCTTTAACTGCTCACCCCCTGAACTGTGCAGATGTGTAAAGAAGTGATGCTGGTTGCATCCCTGTGACTCTCAGGAGATGTGGGACTGCCCCACAGTAAGCTGCAGGGAGGGATCCTGGTGGTAGCAAAAAAATCCATTCCCCTGCCACCAAGCACCCACAATCACCACAGAAGGGACTGAGCTCAGGCAGATCTAAACACTGAAGTAAAAGTCTTGTAAAAGCCAGCTCCTAAATCCACTCAGGTCTGCAAAGCTCCCCAAAACCAGGAATGTGGGACACTGAATCAGGATGTGCTGCCAAGAAGTGATCCTCCAGATGTGTGATGGTGACTATGCACCCTCTGACATGCAGAGTGTGCTATGAGGGGGAAGCAGAGGCTTTTTGGGGTTGGTTCTCATTTGGTTGAAGTAAATTCAATTTTAAAATGCATAAAACTTCAGTAACTGTAAAAAAATCTCTTCTTTAAAAGTGTAAAAAAGAAGTGAAAAAGAGCAAACCAATGCCTCTTCCACTTTAGCCTCACCAGTTTAATTTCCTGCAATTTTTTTCTGCTGTATATGCCATGGCAGCCCATAACCTAAGCCTTTTCAGTGCATTCTCTCACCAAACTAGAGTAGTTCTTCCACAAATTAAATTAGCTTTCTTGATTGGAAACTGGGAAAAGTAAAAGTATATAATAAATTGTAAGAAATGCTTAAATAGATGATATGTCAATAAATAATCCTCGCACTTAATCTGAAAACCGTTAAGTAGTTGGAGTGATGACTGATTTAACACTACCCATTTAGTTTACCTGTGATAATGTGTTATTTAAACTCAAGACTTTATATTAAGTACAATGTGGACTAAAACCTTCATTTGGAAATAATTGCAAAAGTTGAGGGGATTTTTTTTTTTTTTTTTTTAAAGATTTAATTAAAAACACAAGATGAAATAAATATTTTAGGCAACCAGCAACAAAATGGGAAAATACCATGTGTTTGGAGTTTTAGTGCCCTCTGAGTGCTGGAATTTATTTGCAGCAAGCAGAAAATAGACAGCAAGCATAAAAATTCAGCAGATTCCCGCTAGTAAAATTATTTATCAAGCTAACAAGGGAGGAACCCTTCTAGTAGCAACAAGCCAGCAAGGAAAAGACGTGCCTTTATATTTTACCTTTGGGTTAGCACACCAGTAAAAATGCCAACTGACAAGCACTTCACATAAACATTTCTTTCTAAATGAGCTGCCTTGTTAGAAAAAAATCTAAGCAAAGGAGTGCTACAGTCAACAGACAGAAAAACCCAGAATGAATACTACATTGCTCCATATTACAGGAAAATATAAAGAAAGACATAAAAATAATGTTGATGCATAAATGAATTTAATAAATTAACACTTCATTTTGCATTTAAAATAACTACTTGGGCTATAAATCTATCTTAGCTTCAGTTCTACCAGGAAAGAATACATGCCAGTTATCTATTATTTAGATCTTTCTTACCTCTGGAACTAAATGTATACACACACACTCAAAAGAATATATATATGTGTGTGTGTGTGTATGTATTCACCGTGTTGTTGTCAGCGGTGCTACTCAAGCCCCATTGCAATATTTATCGTATATTTATTTTATGACTGAAACCCTGAAGTCGGTTTTACAGTTTAGTTTAACGATACCAAACTTTGATTATAAATTATAAGTGGCTTTATTGCAGCCTGAAGAGGCAAAAAATTTGGAGACATTTGATTGTCTGATCCCAATTAAATTTTAAAGAAATAGTTAAGAGACACACATTGGCTGAATAGCCGAGCTCTGAGGAGCACTGCAAATTACTCCTGTTGGCTGTATAGTGGGGCTATACCCTCCGAGCACTTCTTTGCTAGAATGAACATTTGACAATTGTCAGCAAGCTTTAAAATAAAATCAAACTAACAAAACAAAACAAAACAAAAAAATCCCAAGGATCTTTCTCAAGCATTATTGTTTTCATTGCAGAAAAAAATAGCTTGTGGGAGGGTAGGGGGCAAAATCAGACTCAGCATTTCAGCTAATTCTGTAACTCAGGAAGTAAAACCTGCCACAGTTGTTGACAAAGAGGGGAAAACCCCAAGTTTTACACTAAACTGAGCGGTCAAAGGGATTCACAGGTTGGAGCAGCATTTCTGACTGATCTCAGATGCTTTTCCGCCCACAGTTTTAAGCCAGACCCTGTATTACTCACTCAGAACTCCAAAGGTAGGCAAGAAAGACAGGAAAGGGTAGGGGAAAAAAACCACAAACAACTGGGAAAACAAAAAAAAAATTTTTTTTGAGCTTTTGCTTCCCTCAAAACCTGGCATTCGTCTCGCCTCTGCAGCAGCTCACAATGCAGGGAGAGAATGCAGCATCTCCCACTCCCTGTGCCAGCGCCCCGGGCTGCTGCTCCAACCAACCCCGTGCATTTCTGGGGCTGGGGGAGAAAGTCTCCAGCTCCGAAATTCCTACCCAAGGGCCCGATCCGGCATTCTTCTCACACCCAAAGAGTGCTGCAAAAACAATGGGATATTTGGGTGTGCGGGAAATGCTGAAGCGAGCTGGTATTTGTTAACTGCTGATGGATTACATTAATATGGATATTTGTCTGTAGGGGACAAACACTTTTGAGAAGCGAGTGCAACATTATGGGCAAAACATCAGCAATAATAACAAAAAAGGGTAGAGAGAAACATCATTGATGTAAACCATGAAATAAATAATATATGTCAACTTTTATGTTTCTTGCCTTTGATCTGGGTACAGCTGACATTAAGTCCAGGAATTGATACCTTTTTAGCTGAGAAGACACAAGATGTCAAGTTATATTTTTTAGTGCAAGGCCAACACGTAAAAACAAAGCTAAAAGAGTTGAAGAAGTGAGCATAACAGAAAACATAGAGATTATCTCTTGTCATGGGAAAGAAAACAATGGAAGTTTCCATGGAAGCTGAGTGGCTAATATAATGCTGTCTTCACTTTGCCATTCTCTCCTTATTAGAATAGAATTTGGGTCCAAGTGATATGGAAAGAGATTGCTACTGAGCAGGGCAAGGGAGTGCTGCAGGTAGAGCCAACGCAGAACGAGGTCTAGAAGATGTACATACGTCTGTATTCCTCACTCCCTGCCTGCCACTCATTTTAACCCTGTCATAAAGCAGTTTCAAAGTGGAAGCTGTTTGGAAGCACACATAAAGGCATCCATTCAAAGGCATTACATTAAAACTCCATTGGATCCTGCTCAAGTGATAAAGAGGCAAGGTGACGCATCATCCCGGCGTCCAGGGAACCTGCTCCTGCCTTGGCTTTGGTGGGACTGAGCAAACCTGACCTTTGTTTTACTTTCTTGCTTACTTTTTAGTTGCACCAGCCCTCTGGTGCAGGTCTAAGCCCAGAGCCTCTCCACCAGCTCCCTCACACTCCTGAGCGTTTACACCAGGTAATCAGGAGCAGAATTTGGTCCTAGGTGTCTATGCTGGAGCTGAAATTGGGTAAGTGGATTGTTCCCGTCCACACTTACAGCTGTTCCTGACTAAAACCACAGCCAGAAAATCATCAGCATGAAGGAGAAATGCCACACACATCTCCTCTTTAAAACGTGCACCCTCCCCAGGGAAAGAGCTCTTCCTCTGGGAGACTCTGGATACGCTGCTGTGCGCCCCTCTCCTTTACAGCCTGGCCTTGTTAATCATTTACATGGCTTCACACCCTCTTTCCTTAATTTAGTCTGTACCTTAATCTTGGCGATTTCGGCGGGCTGGTCTGTGCACAGGAGGGCCAGGGAGCCCAGCTCTGGACGTCAATAACCCAGCACAATGCCTCTGCACAACACGAAGCCAGCTATTTAATTACCCATCACCGTTAACAAAAGCTCTCTTTATTTTGATTAACTTCGAGGGAACGAGGTTCCCCACCATCCGAGTATGTTTAAATAATTACACAGTACAGACTAACATGCCTGGAAACACAAAAAGAGGGGGAGTACAGAAAGGGGAGAGAAGAAAGGGAAGACATAAGCTCAGCCTTACTTCCCAATTTAAACTAGGAATGACCTCAGGGTCAATATTTCAGAGTATCTCAGATCAATTCAATTCTCACCTCCGCTGCCTACCTGCTAGCAAATGAACTTACTGAGCCTTCCAATAGACAGAAACGACTAAAAGGAAATCGCATTTAGCTGCATCTGAATAACCATGGTTATTAGATGATGCGTGCAGAGGAAAAATTACCATTTCCCTTCTCCTTCTCATCCTTGTGATTGTCATTCTCACCTCACTGGTGATTAAGATGTAGGATGCTCTCGCAGATTGTTAATTAGGTGTTAATATCTGCAAGGGGCCACAGCAAGCTCCTACACCTGAGGTCATTTCTCAGAAGTCGGGCTGTCTCCGGTGACAGTACCTGTAATTCCCATAGCTAGTTTGATTCCCACTCAACAGCTGGAGCTAGTGTTTCTTTCATGTCTGGTTTCATTTCCTATCTGAAATTATATGAGTGCTAATATCTTTATTATCTTTCCCGTAGAAGTGCAATGCTGGAGCATGGCACAGTGTGTTGCTCATAGGTTTCTTTTTTTTTATTATTATTATTATATTTTTCCCCCAGCATTTTCAAAACATTTCAAGCAAAAATCTTCACGGTTAGCAAATTTAGAGCTGAGGACTCCATTATGGATCTAGAGGGGTAGAAGGTAGGAGGGAAACAATAATAATTTGGGGACAGAAGAAAAGAAAAGCTGCATAACTGCTGAATGATAATGGCTCAAACCTTGGGAAATAAAGGTAATGGCAGGAAGGGGAAGAATTACAAGGACAGTGTGACCTCTACACGCCTTGCAGGTGCACAAGAGTTATTCCATATATGTGTGTGTACATCTAGGTATTAAGGATACACGGTGTTTAAGAGAGAGAGGGGGCACATAACTGAGCCATGACTTTGATTACGTTTTGACTCATTCAAGACCAGGGTAAAGCTAAGTTATGTGTAATTCAGAAAATTACCCGCTCCTGAAGCACCTCATCTTTGTACTCGTGGCCTGGTGCACTCGGGAGACTAAATTCTCATCCTGGCAGAAATGATGCATGGACTTGGGCAACACCGATGATTTCTCATCCTAGGGTACGCAGTAAGGTAAATGACAAGTACTTCAATACACCAGCTTTCATTAAAAGGCTTCAAGGAGCATTACAGCTATTTTTTAACTCCCACAAAAGCCTAGAAGGTAAGAATTAATTATCTAGGTTTATAACTGTGTAAACTGAGATATAAAGAGATCAACAGTAACAGACCTTTAGAAGAAACCTAAGATAACAAGTTTAAAGTGCTTCAGTATTTTGCTGAATCTAGATTCAAATAACTGGGTCAAAGTCTCACAAGTGAGTCAGACTGTAACTCCCAGCTCCCAGTTTCTTCACTCTCTAAACATCAGGACTATATGTGGAAGCCTGAGAAGTAATTTTATATGTGGGATGTTAAATCAGTACTTTTCCTGTCTCATCAATCTCCTGTATTTTGGTACAGTGTGAATCATTTGGTAAGTGGCACAAATTAGAAAACCCAGAAGAGATGTTAAAAATATTTCCTTTTTTTTTTTTTTAGCACTCCACTTAAAATCCTCTACTAGAACGAAACAACAGCAAAAGTCACATCACTGGAAAATATTTTAGAGCTTATTCTAATCACAGGGGAAACTATTAAATTGTCTTTGCTGGGAATTTGGGGGGAGTAAAAGCTGTCACATACAGCATATACTTTCTCTTTGCTCATAAAGACTCAAGATGTTTTCATACTTCACGCTTATAGGAATGAGCTGTAAAGCAGTTTGAGACACAGTGAAGTTTTGCTTTTTTTAAATACTCGAGAACATCTTTTTACCTATGTAAAATGACCTGTAAATTGTACAAAATATGTTTGGGGAGAGGAAAGGAAGGAAGAGAGGTTACTATCAATTTTTTTAAGCAAGAATAATATATTGCATCCCATTTGAAATAAAAGATGCTCATTTAGCCTTAATATAGCACATCTGCTTGAAAAATACATACAAGGCTCCCATTGACTGTAGTGGGAACCTTGCCAATAATATTTCACGGAAGTTATCTTGATATCAGCTTCGGAAAATAAAGACATTTTACAGGGAGTACTAATTCAACAACTGAAAGTTAAAAATAACTCACTCCTACACAAAGAAATTTGATTGTTTTTACAGTTCTTAGCTTTAATTTCAATTTTATCAAATGTACAGTCTGAGAATAAAACTTAGGTGATAAGGTCTAGTGTTACAGTGAACTCGGGCAGTTTGACATCGCAGGCCATTGCCATGAAAAGAAAAACGATGTCATGAACAACAGCCTGACTGGATTGCACATCAAAAATACACATGAACAGTATGAGGATGCAAAAAGTCTTGCACAAAACACAAATCTCTTTTAAAAACGCATGTGCGAATGCAGGAATAGCACTGAAAAGTAAGCAAATGTATACTTTAAGAGTGCCATGATTTCCCCTGTGTGAAAGGGTCTTAGAGGTAAACTGGAAAAGGAACAGAAAATATATTTCTGTTCTTTACTGCTCCTTATTCTCTTCTTAGTTTTAGGGCTCATCCATATGGGGAAATTATGTAGTAAACTATACCACAGTGCTATCCATTCCCTGGGTGGATACTCCTACACCAGAGCAAGAGTGGATTTTCCTGGTTAATTCATTTTATTTTGAAAGAAGCTTAAGATACATTGGGAGGATGGGTGGGGGTAAATCCACCCTTATTCCCGAATAAGAACATCCATCCAGGGAACTCACAGCACTGCTACTGAGGTATGAGTTCAGATCTTACTTTTTATTAGTACAGCCTTGCCTGTAGACCTTCCCTCTGTGGTGGAAGTGTGAGCCCCAGGAATTCAACAGGGATTTTACCAAAGCCTGCAGTGGGGCCAGGAGCCCAAGCAGGACCTCTCTTCTCACCTGAGATGTAGATAGGATGTAGTTTAGATTTCAGAGTCCATCATAGCCTCATCCTGCTTTTGGAGCTCTACAAAAAGTCCTTCCTTTGAAAACTGAAATATTAAGTGTTACACACAGTGATTAAAAACACCAGATTTTTTTCTTACACTTCGTTTTTAAGAGAAAGCCCGGCTACAGTTTTTTGTCAGATTTCTTTTCAACATCATTATGCTGATCAGGAAATTAAATTGGAGGAATATTTTGTTCCTGTTGATTACGTGAAGTTGGATGGAAGTTCTGCACTAAACGAAATGCACTGAAGTAGGATAAAATATGCCCGGGGTTATGTACGTATTGTGAGAGACGTTCGCTGGAGCTGCTGGGAGATGGAATAGGCCAACACATGGCCTTTGGAAAATAGCAGTTGCCTTGTAAAATACCACAATGTACCCTTGGTGGTATTTTATGGGATAGCAACTAATTTTGTTATTGGTATAACAGCGTATATCATAAACACAAATTTCATCCTGCAGTGCTTACTTGTAAAGCTCCCAATAATCACATCAGACTCAAGGGCATGGAGCAACACCACCGAGTGACCTCCACAAACCCTGCTGCCAGCTGACCCACGAGAGACATTATGGTGAGAACCTCTTAACCAGCAACCACCAAATATTCCAGTCACACTCATAAAATGAATTGCCTTGAAATGCTAAAAGTATGCCAGAAATAACATAATTCCTTCAAAGGAGTCAAGTTAGTAAGTTAGACCACGGAGACTACTGTCCACTACTATAAACGTACAGTCTTAAATTCTCCCAACCAAACCAACTCCATGAATATCAAGTAAGTACACCTCCAGACAGTGTGGAGGATTGGAGTTTTCATATCTAAGCTTATTATTCCTAATATCACAGAGACACTTCCCTGAATTGTCCTTCTCCTTCCCAAATTCCCCATCTGACCAGATGTCTTTCTCTCTCTTGCTTTCACCTGTCAGTCATGTTCACAGCTGAAATTTGATTTCTCTCCCAACAGTAACCTTAGATGAAATATTACCATAGGGGTCAGAACTGTCTGAACCTTGCCATAAAAATTCGTTAACTCTTCTGAGACCTGAGAGATATTTGCTTAAAAGAAAAGGATTTTGATGCGCTTTTTTTTGTTGTTGTTTGGTTTTGTTTGTTGTTTTTTTTTTCTCTAATATGTGAAAGCGTAACCACAAAATATCAGAAGGAAAGCACAAGGAACTGTGTTGGAGAGCAGCAGGCTAAGCAAGTGTCCATCAGGAAAAAAGCTTTTGCTCTTTTATTATATGGATAACAAGAATGTATATCACATATTATTTATATAAATCTAACAGTCACATATATAAATTACAAGAACCATGGAAGTTTTCCTGCGGGATTATTGAAATTAGAACCGTTACACTAGGAACAAGGTGATGGAACATGTGCTGTACCTTTGCAATGAAAATATGTACTTGATGTATTTACTGTATTTACTTCAGCTGAATCATGACTTGGCTCTGTTCTTGCAAAAAGCATATTGCACTTTAAGCTCTCACAGACAAACTAGTGGTCTGGTTTCCCTCTCATTTACAGTGGTGAAACACAGAAAAAAAAATGTATTGCAGGCAAAACCCTACTCCCGGTGTTCCTCGGGGAAGTGAGCAGAGCATCAGGCTCAAAATGAACCTCTTCTGGTGCTTCTTGAGAAACCTATTCCCACAGCCTATACACCAAGAAAAATTCCTCTCGCTGCTACTTAACGTAAAGTCTAGAGCGCCAATTACATCTTCCCCATCCTCACCCACATTTTAAATAATAAAAAAATAGCAAATAAAAATTAATAAATAATAAACCAGGCTTAATTCCATGAGCTAATAAAATTAATTTTTTTTCTAATAGCAGGTAACTGTTGATCAAAGCACGGTAGGCTGTATGGCAGCCTGTGTTCTTAAGTAAAATAGGCGGCTTCATAAAAAAATTCACACAGAATCTGTCATTGTAACCTTGCTGCTCATTTAAGCCACTTAGTATTTTTTATAGTCAAGGTCAATAAAAATCAGATCCCATGGAAAAAATAAAGTGCCTGTTTGAGTCTAGCAGGGGAAGGGACTGAAAGTTTAATTCCCACATTTTCATTAGCGGCATATTTTTAGTCAATGTTGACAGACTCAATGAACACAAATTTCCAGAGGAAAGCGGTGCTGTGAATTAAACTCTATTGTAATCTGTAAGTACAGAAGTTGTCTAACACAGACTCCTGATTTTCATCAAGATCTGAGGGAGATCTTCAGAAGACCCATCCTTAATCCCCAAAGCTGATGTCTGAACGTTAGCATTTGAAGAAAAAGAAAGAAAACATTTGCAAAGGATTATATATGAGTTGTGGGACACAGGAGAGCTGCCTGGCTGACAAAAGTACAAAGCCCCATCACTGCAAATGGTTCTTGTAGGCACCTGAAAGTCAGCCCCATCCGAAAGCCCGGGAAACTGCACCACAGTCTGTCACCGGCTCCCCGGGGTTGGACCAAAAAGCACTGTTTTAGCAGCAGAAAACAAAGCAGCAAAATTACCACCCCAGCTGAAATATGTCAAATTGCTAACCTTTTTTTTTTTTTTTGACCTCGGGTAACAGGGATTTTCACATCACTGTTGTAGATGATTCTCTTGGGTACCTAATTTAGTAAATATATTAAAATAAACCATTATTAAAATGAATTTTAGCATCGTAAAACATGTCTGTCCTGCCACTATGGTACAGAATACGACCTTTTCTATTTAAATTCTAAATTAAATTTAGAAAGTCTCTTGTACAGTTTATTATCTGTGAGTGAGTGAAGAAGAAATTAACACAGATTGAAGTGAAACATTTCTAGCTCACACATCTAGTCTTTACTCCATATTAATAACAGGAGACTTGTACTGACAAATTACCTTAAAAACACGTATTTTTGTCTCACTAGTGAATATCAGCTTCTCAGACCAGAAAGCATGTAGCTTTCTGTACTTCTTCCTTAATGATTGTTATTAACTGCACTAATGTAATTGGAAAAATAATAATCAATTTTTGTACACACTCCATTATTTTCCAGACAGTAGTTTAATAACAAAAGCAGAGCTGTCATTTCTCCCTGCGGTTACTCACACTGTACAAATTCATCCTGT